AAGATTTATACATGTACAATGTGGGGGGGGGGGCGGGGAGCCAGAAATGTCACAACTGAAACCACAGAGGTCCCCTGCAGAGGGCCCTCAGATTGCCTGCAGGAAGTCCAAGGACATCACAGGGAATGCAGGAGGAAGAGGGACAAAGAATCAAGGTGAGGAAAGTGAGGCAGAGGTAGTTCCCTCTTTGGGGCAGGGTATATCTTAATGTAGATCAAGAAGATAATTGCCTGGGAATGACTTCATGCCTAGGTGTTTTAACAAGGTAACATCACTGTGACTAGATTACAACCCAACCTCTGTAGTTATCCTAACTTAGGTAAGTCACAAATGGTTTTTAAATTCCCTGCTCTGTATTTTTATTTTACTGATAAATGTAACAGAATTCTGTATTTGCAACAACAAAATATTATGTCTTATGTTTTTAATTTTCTCTTTGGATTTTAAATTTCAACACTTATTCAGATATGTCTTTGTTTTTCTCAAAAATATACTATTAGTAATAAAAATAAGGTATAAAAAAATACGTTTTTTTATACTAAACTAGGGACCCTTGAGGAATATATTCACCAGTTATAGCAATGACTCAAACACATTTATCAAAATGAGTACTATACTGCAAAACAATCTCCTTAAAAGTAGCAAATAAATTTATTCCCAAGATGATGCCAATACTCCAAACTTCTCACAACTTCTTTTCAGAAGAGAAATGTGTAGTTTATAAGTTATGGCAGGGAAAAATTAATTATGTCACTTTACTATCTCCAAATATATGTATATAATAACAATAATGAACTTGAATTGTTGAATTCTTTCTTGAATATTCTTCTCCCTCAGCTCCAGTGTTGCTCCAAAGTGGTTCTTATCTCTCATTTCTGGTCCCCTGGCTCCTATTCTTCCTGTCACCACCTACTTTAGCTATTCCCCAAGGCCACAAATAAGTCTCTTCTCTCCTTTTCCAAGCTTCAACTACCAGATCCTGTACTGAGAGCCCCATACTTCCCAAGGACATTATCTCCAGCTAAAGATCCATCCATCAAGGACCTCAAAAACAAAATAAAATAAATAAATAAAACTCTGCATATTCAAACTACTGTTTCTTCTCTGGACAATGCCTTCTCATAACTTTCCTATTTCTGTGAAAAACAGTTGCCATCCACTGATCACCCATAGTTGAAATTTGAGACATTTCTGACTCTGTCCTTTCTATTCCTCCTCAAAGCCATTCAGGGGTCCAGGCCTGTGGACAGCAAAGTTCCTTCACTCATCATCTACCCCTCTTCCATCCTCTCCACCTCTAGCTCCCATTACCTCTCATCTGAGCTATTTTAATAGTCTCCTAATTCCAAACTGCTCGATCCACTTCAACCTAGTACGTATGCTACTGCCCAAGTAACTTCCTAAATGCAATTTTGATCATGGCACATCTCCTCTCAAAAAACTGGGAGGCTCTATGGCTTCTACCTAACTAGTCTGGCACTCAAAGCCTTCCATGCATTAACCCCCATCTATTTCTACAGCTTTATCCCAGCAAAAACTCTCCCTTATATACAAACAGATAGACAGACATACACATATTTCCTATTCTGCACTCCAATCAAAATATGTTACACAGAAGTCCTCATAAATGCCTGATTAATTTTTTACTTCTGCACTAATTCACAGGGATGTACTACAGCTAAGAGCAGTCAAGAAATAGCCAAAGAATGAATGAATAGAATGGGTGGAATCCTCCTCTATTTCTACATACACATCCTAGCTTTCTTCAGAGTTCATTCCAAACAAGCTTTTTTCAAGAAGTAATCCCATCAGTAAAGAAAAGCAATTGCCTTTTCCTCTAAAATTTCATAGCCCCGTATCTTCTGCTGAGTACACTCAACATCTACCCAATATTTCTGTATTCATTTCTACCACCAGACTACATTTCTTAAGGATAGGGTAATTGTCTGAATTACGCAATCTATATATACATAGAAAGTACCTTCTCTAATGATTAATTATTCTCTTAATTTGCCTACCAATATTTAAACTCTTTGAAGGCAAAGATTCACATTTGTTTCTTTTTCCCCAGCTTTACTTCCATATCACCCTTAGCATTCATTGGGCACAGTACCTAATACATGCAATGTCCGTTACATAGTTTGTGAATGTATCCATTCACTGTATCAAAAATTATGAAGGGAATTCAAGAAGACAACTGTCAAAAATATTTCAGATGCCCATAGGGATTTCCAAAGTGATAAATTATAACTTTTATTTTGAGTATATAATTGTTAGTCTGCTATTTAATAAATCAATTATATGATATTTCCTCCAAGGATATATTAACTCTCAAGAACCTAAAAATACAAATATCTTCTTTATGAAATTAGCAAGGTACCTTACACAGAGTAAGCCCACAAAAGTTTATTGTATGAACAATGAATGAATGAACAAATTAAGGCAAAAACTCTACTCCTGGCCAATCGGTCAATGAACATCAAACTTCAGGTTCAAAACACAAAGGAAAGACCTACATACAAATTTTTTAAACGTTCTCAATTCCAAAAACACTGGCAAGATGAATAGAACTGAATCAATCCAAAAGTCTCTCAGTTAAGTAGACAAGGAAGGGACTAAACACAAATGCACAGCTGCCTTATCAACACCTTGAAGTTTGAAAGCTGTGAACTGGGATTTAATCAAGAATTTTAAGTCAAGAAACCTCTGTACACTTCAATAAGCAGCCTAAAGGAAAATTTCGGATACAGAGCAACAGAAGTAATAGAAAACATCTCATATGTCATCAATTGTAAAAGGAAAAACAAAGAAACACTGGCTTTAAAGTTTGAAAATACTGGTTCTAGATATAGCTACTACTTTGGGCAAGTCACCAAACAACTAAGAAGCTTCATCCACCTTAGCTATAAAATTATCTGGGGGTAACATTATTCTTCTCTTGAGATCTTTAAAATAAAAATGATGGTTGAAAGCAAAAGAATTTTAACATTTTCTGATGGCATTTTTAATATATGTAGAATTAATAAATATGACACCTGCAACATAAAGCAGAGAGGTTAAAGGGAACTGTATGGTGACAAGTTTTCTACATTCTCTTAAGTGGTAAAATAGTAATTCTAAGTATAAAACGTTTTATATGTATCTATATATGTATATACACATATATAAAAAAGAATTCCTAGAGGAATCATAAAAAAAACTACAAAAGAAATAGTCAAAAACTCAGTATTAAAATGGAATACTAAAATATATTCAAATAATCTAAAGGAAGGAGGGGAGCAACAGGAACAAAAAAATAGAAAAAAAATAATAAAATAGGAAGCCCTAAATCTAACCATAGTAACCAAATGTAAATGAACTAAACACAAGAATTAAAAGACAGAGAATGTTAGTATGCATTAAGAAACACAACCCAACTACATGCTATCTATAAGAAACCCACTTTAAATAGAGTGGTATAGGTAAATTTTAAACATTAAGCAAAAGGAGGCTCTATTCATAATTACCAAAAATTGAGAAATAACACTAATGTTCTTAAAGGGTGAATGGATTAATATGATACATCCATACAATGGAATATTACTTAGCAATTAAAAGATTTATTGATACACACAACAACATGGATGAAGCTCTATGGTATTATGCTGGGTAAAAGAAGCCAGTGTCAGAATGTTACATACTGTATGACTCTATCTATAAGAAAAGGGGGAAAGATAGAACTATAGCAATCAGTAAGAAATCACTGGTTGCCTGCAGTTGGGGGTGAGGGGACAGCATGAGGCAGTTTTTTAGGATGACATAACTGATGGAAAGCTGATTTCAAGAATAGTTATATAACTCTGTATATGTGTTAAAACTCATTGAACTGTACACCAAAAAAGTCAGTTTTACTGATGTTAATTTAAAAAATAAAGTAAAATAAAGATTAAGTGGATGATCTCAGTGAACACTTCCAGACTGATTTTATGAATGAGAAAAAGAATGGAGTACCAAATGGCGGTGGAGGGGAAATTCTAAGTCTTACTGGCACAAAAGCCACTACTCATAAGAACCTCCTGATTACTGCAAAAATAAAATAAACCCAATCTTCAGAAATTCATTCTCAGAGGCATAGAAAACCTGACATGCAGATCCAAAATGTGGATATTTGGAAATGCCTGCGAGTGGGTCTTCTTGTCTGTTACCATATTTTATACTTTCAAGAAGCTGCCAATTTCTCCTGGCTAAGTGCCACCTTCCCTGCTCAGGGTTACTCAGTTTACAAGCATTCTTTTATTTATACCTTACACTCTTACTTAATGGTGGGGGTTTTGGCAGTCATAATAAATACACTGTGCAAAAGTAGTCCCTTTTGCAGAGTGCCAGAAAGATAAGTGATCCTCACCCAGAGTTAAGGCCCCTGCAGAACATGGTTACACCCTCAATTAGTGACTGACCTGAGGATGCTCGAGCACAGAAAGCATCCCCACCGCCAGAACCGGGACCCAGAGTCGCGCCCAGGAGCACTTCTCTCTTCTCTGGGCTGCCCGGTTGCCCCGGTGCTGCTGGCCGTTTTGAGGACTGCCCCGGTGTGGAGCGTGCGCTGTCAAAGGCTCAGCTCAGTGACCTTGGGCAAGTCCCTTCCTCTCCGGGGTAAAGAGGAAACTCTGGAAAGTTTGTCCAAGGGAGCTTCCCACCGCCTCCAGAAAGTCTAAAACTTTCCGGGCCCCCCGCTCCAGCAGGGAGCCAGGCTCGCGCCTCAGAGCCGCCACCAGGTCTTCCCCCGCGCACCGGGATCCCCGAGGAGACCAACACACCGGCCCCAGCGCACCGCTCGAAGGCAAGAGCGAGGCACAAGGCGCCAAATCCCGGTCTCTGCCGTCTCCGAGGGAGCAGGCCGTCCGGCCGCATTCCGGCCGCCCCTCCCTGTGGTCTCCGCCCGCCAGTCGGACTCCCACCCCAGGGTAGTGGAACGCACGCCGGCGAGGGCCGAGGTGGGGGCCAAAGAGAGGCGCGCCCACCTTGAGCTGCGATTTGGAGACCTTGCCGCTGTGGTCCAGGTCCAGCGCGGTGAAAGCGTGCCAGATGGTCTTGAGCAGTTCGTCCTTCAAGCTCCCCATGGCCATGTACCCGGTTCCCAGCCTGCCCCGCCGGCTGCTCGGTGTGTCTGACGCTTCACCGGACTCTGCGGCCGCCGCCGCCGCCCGCCGCTCGGTCACGTGACCGAGGTAGGTTCCCGCCCCCGCCAGGCTCCGCCCACCCGGCGGCCGCCCGGAGCCGCGCAGGCTGTGGCCGCAGCCCGGGGTGTGTGCGTACGCCCATTCCGGTGGCTAGAAAGAGAATCCGGGAGAGAAAGCTGCACCGCTGAACACCCCCAGGCAGCCCATAGCGTTCCCCAGACCGGTTCGGTCTATATTCAGTGCTTGCGTGGACCCCAAATAAGAGCCCCCATCCCAAGGAAAAGTAAGAGAGTTGGGGTGAGCCGCCGAACCCGCTCCTGCCGGCGCTCTGCGGTGAGAAACGGAGTCCTCGTTCTGCCCCGCGGACGGGATCACTGTCCAAGGAGGCCTTTTCCTGCTAAAGCCTGTTTTTGAGGGTCAGTTCACAATTTAGGGAGGGATTAGCCTGGGTTATGCTGTTCCTGGTGTTTCTGTGTTTACATAATAGATTTGGGAGGATCCCAACTAATCACCGTTTTGCAAATCAGAATGGGTTTTTGAGATAATTTATCCGAACTCAAAACCGCATCCTCCTCATTGAGATATTCGACTAATATGTTAACAGAATCGTCACCTGAGCTCTTTGGGCTTCATATTCTCCACGTGCATACTGAGCTTGTGCCAGATGTTGGGGAACAGTTCTAGTGCTTGCATCCTGGAATAGTAACTATTGCTGGTGACTGCAGTCGGATTAGGTCAGTAGGCCTAGCGCTTTGCCCCTCCATTCCAGGCCTAAATCTGGATAAAATGGAAGGAATAATCTTGGTATTGGTTATTGGAATAATCTTGGTATTTCAAAACGAGATGGTTTTCAGATAGTTTGGTTTTGTTTTCCATTTTTATGTTCCTAAATGCAGGCAGATGTACCTTATAAAAAAGGAAAAGATCATCCTAAAGAAGGGGGTTTGGAAAGAGCAGAAAAAGAAGAAGCTGTTTCAGTGAGCTTGAGGCCAAAGGGAGCATGGTGGAGCAGAGGAAAGGCAGCCCAGTTGAAGGGAGAAGGCAGAAGCAAAGGGGCTGTTGGTGCTCCACTTAACCATTTGTCAGAACTTTTCTTGCCCTGCCAGAATCCAGTTTCTATTATTTATCTTTCCCATCTCCAGTCCAAGTCTGCCAGTCAGCAGAAACATAATTTAACTTCTAATTTCTTCATGCCAACTGAGCTTTCTTTCCATGGGTAGTAACAAAATAGAAATCTTCCTAATTCTCAAGGTTCAGCTTAACCACTAGATGACACTCCTCTCTCTGTTTCTCAAAGCACCAAAAAGATATTTCAAAGCTCTTTTATTTTTATTACATGATCAGGTAATTCTGGACTTCTGTATTTCTATTTCTTCCATAATCCCCACTCTCTTAATCCAAACAAATTTTAAAGCAGAATGATGGCATGAAAAGAGCTGTGCTTTGGAACCTAGCAGATTACATCAGTAATCTATTGCTGTGCAGCTAATTAACCCAAAATTTAGCATCTCAAAACAGTAATAAACATTATCTCATATATTCTGTGGTTCTGGAATGTAGAAGTCACTTAGCTGTACAGTTCTGGCTTTGAGATCTCTTGAGAGGTTTCTGTCAAAATATGGGATTGTAGTCATCTAAAGGCTAGGCAGGTGCTGGAGAATCTGCTTCCAAGATGGTTCACCCACATGCACTTAATCACAAAAGGGCTGGGTTCCTCCCTATGGAGGTCTGCCCCCAGTCTACTTGAGTGTCCTTACTATATGACAGGTGGCTTTCACCAGAGCAAGTGATCCAAGAAAGAGAAAGGTGGAAGCTGCAGTGTCTTATGATCCAGCCTCAGAAGTCACTATCATGACTGTAATGTTCTACTGACAACTCAGTTCAGACCTATTTAATTTTGAAGAGGAACTACAAAAGAGCATGGATACCAGTAGGCAAGAATACTAGGGGCCAATAGATTCACCACTGGGTTTTATCAGACATTTGGAGAGGACATAATACTTAAAGTTTTCCAAAAGATAGAAGAGGAGGGAATACTTCCAAACTCATTCTATGAAGCAAGCATCACTCTAATACCAAAACCAGGCAAAGACACCACAAAAAAGAAAATTACACACCAATATCCCTGATGAACAAAGATGCAAAAATACTCAACAAAATATTAGCAAACCGAATTCAAAAATACATCAAGAGGATCATACACCATGACCAAGTGGGATTCATCCCAGGGATGCAAGGATGGTACAACGTTTGAAAATCCATCAACATCATCCACCACATCAACAAAAATAAGGACAAAAACCACATGATCATCTCCATAGATGCTGAAAAAACATTCGACAAAATGCAAGATCCATTCATGATAAAAACTCTCAACAAAATGGGTATAGAAGGCAAGTACCTCAACATAATAAAGGCCATACATCATACTTAACAGCAGAATCTGAAAGCTTTTCTTCTAAGATCAGAAACAAGACAAGGATGCTCACTCTCCCTGCTTTACTCAACATGGTACTGGAGGTCCTAGCCACAGTAATCACACAACACAAGGAAATAAAAGGCATTCAGATTGGTAAGGAAGAAGTCAAACTGTCACTGTTTGCAGATGACATAATATTGTACATAAAAAATCCTAAAGAACCCACTCCAAAATGACTAGAACTAAAATATGAATTCAGCAAAGTTACAGGGTACAAAATGAATACACAGAAATCTGTTGCATTCCTATACACTAACGAGCTAGTAGAAAGAGAAATCAGGAAAACAATTCCATTCACAATTGCATCAAAAAGAATAAAATACCTAGGAATAAACCTAACCAAGGAGGTGAAAGACCTATACCCTGAAAATTATAAGACATTGATGAGAGAGATTAAAGAAGACACCAATAAATGGAAATACATCCCATACTCATGGATAGGAAGAATTAATATTGTCAAAATGGCCATCCTGTCTAAAGCAATCTACAGATTCAATGCAATCCCTATCAAAATAGCAACAGCATTCTTCAATGAACTGGAACAAATGGTTCTAAAATTCATATGGAACCACCAGAGACCCCAAATAGCCAAAGCAATCCTGAGAAGGAAGAATAAAGCAGGGGGGATCTCGCTTCCCAACTTCAAGTTCTACTACAAAGCCACAGTAATCAAGACAATTTGGTAAAGGCATAAGAACAGACCCATAGACCAGTGAAACAGAACAAAGAGTCCAGATATTAACCCAAGCATATATGGTCATTTAATATATGATAAAGGAGCCATGGATATACAATGGGGAAATGACAGCCTTTTCAACAACTGGTGTTGGCAAAACTGTTCAGCCAAATGTAAGAGAATGAAATTGGATTACTGTCTGACTCCATACACAAAAGTAAACTCGAAATGGACCAAAGACCTGAATGTAAGTCATGAAACCATAACACTCTTAGAAGAAAACAGGCAAAAATCTCTTAAACATAAACATGAAAAACTTCTTCATGAACATATGTCCCTGGGCAAGGGAAACAAAAGCAAAAATGAACAAGTGGGACTATATCAAGCTGAAAAGCTTCTGTACAGCAAAGGACATCATCAGTAGAAAAAGAAGGCATCCTACAGTATGGAAGAATATATTCATAAGTGACATATCCGATAAGGGGTTGACATCCAAAATATATAAAGAGCTCATGTACCTCAACAAACAAAAAGCAAATAATCCAATTAAAAAATGGGCAGAGGAGCTGAACAGACACTTCTCCAAAGAAGAAATTCAGATGGCCAACAGGCACATGAAAAGATGCTCCACATTGCTAATCATCAGAGAAATGCAAATTAAAACCACAATGAAATATCACCTCACACCAGTTAGGATGGCCAACATCCAAAAGACAAACAACAAAAAATGTTGGCGAGGAATTAGAGAAAGGGGAACCTCCTACACTGCTGGTGGGCATGCAAATTAGTTCAACCATTGTGGAAAGTAATATGGAGGTTCCTCAAAAAACACAAAATAGAAATACCATTTGACCCAGGAATTCCACTCCTAGGAATTTACCCTAAGAATGCAGCAGCCCAGTTTGAAAAAGACAGATGCACCCCTATGTTTATCGCAGCACAACTTACAATAGGCAAGAAATGGAAGCAACCTAAGTGTCCATCAGCAGATGAATGGATAAAGAAGATGTGGTACATATACACAATGGAATATTACTCAGCCATAGGAAGAAAACAAATCCTACCACTTGCAATAACATGGATGGAGCTAGAGGGTATTATGCTCAGTGAAATAAGCCAGGTGGAGAAAGACAACTACCAAATGATTTCACTCATCTGAGGAGTATAAGAACAAAGCAAAAACTGAAGGAACAAAATAGCAGCAGACTCACAGAACCCAAGAATGGACTAACAGTTACCAAAGGGAAAGAGACTGGGGAGTGTGGGTGGGAAGGGAAGGATAAGGGGAACAAGGGGCATTATGATTAGCACACATAATGTAGGGGAGGGCACAGGGAAGGCAGTATAGCACAGAGAAGACAAGTAGTGATTCTACAGCATCTTACTACGCTGATGAACAATGACTATAATGGGGTATGTGATGGGGACTTGATAATGGGGGGAATCTAGTAGCCACAATGTTGCTCATGTGATTGTATATTAATGATACCAAAAAAAAAAAAGAATACTAGGTGCCATCTTGGAAGCTGGCTATCACACAGATATGGGGCAGAATCCGGGCTCTACCATTTGTTCACTTACCAGCAACTCTAAGATGTCATTTCCTCATATGTAAAATAGAGATGCTATAATATTTATCTTGCAAAATTGATAAGAGGCTTAAATGAGAGACTAGTATATATGAGAATGAGACACAGCGTCATGGTATCTGGCAACTGTTAACATTTGGCTCAGGTGGTTTTGTATGGTGTCACTTCAGCTACACTGAAATTTAGCTCCCCAAATTTCCCTTTTTTAGTCTGGTACCAGGATAGGATTGGTCACAAGAGAAACTTTTGTACTATTTGAAAGGAGC